TGGGATAGCCCTTCCAACTGGGATCTTGAACGGGGGCGAGAGTTGCGTGCATGCTATATATAGGGACATAGCCTCCAGTCGACAATTCCCGATCTGATTTCCCGGCGCCGAAGCTCGATGAGGAGCATCTACACCTCAAGGCATGCAAATAGGACTGCTGCAAACAATGAACATGCAGGTGTCGAGGCTCAAGACGGGGGTTTTACCTTCAGAGCCATGGGGTCGAGGAGGTGCATGCCGTGGTTGAACTCATTCAGGTCCGCCAGGAAGGTCTTGCTTGCGTCCCCTTGGCGCTGCCCGGCGGACTCCGCGCCCCCCGGCCGCAGCTGCAGCACGCTTCGCCCATCCGGCTCGGAAGAAGAGGCGGCCGAGCTGTCGGTGTGCACCACTACCGCCTCCGCCCACGCGGCACCGCGCCGAAGCACGAGCCGGTGGCCGGGGGCGTAGCGGTGGCATGGAGCGGCGAAGTGATTCTGCAGCCCGAGGGTGCGCAGCGGCACGCTAGCCTCCTCGGCGTCGCGCCTACCCACAACCCCCATGTGCGCGATAGGTCAGGCGCAAAAGATAAGAATTGGTACGGCCGCCTTCAAGCCCTTGCTGCGCCTGCCCCGCGCCTGGCTCCAGGAAGAAGCCTTCATATGAGTCTGCCTTGACGCGGCCAGCCGGCTTGCGGCCGCGGCCTCAGATGACACATGACACGCGGAAATGGTTCACGCGCCTGCCGCCGCCCACCACCTATGTGGCGCCTGCAGGCAGAGGGCGCAGCGCCTGGGGGCGAACCGGACTACGAAGTGGCCGGTGGATGGGTCGAAGCCTTGGATGGTGGCAACACGAAGCACTCCCTCCGGCTCGGGAAGACACAAGCGCTGTCCGCGCCGGTAGCAGAAGTACGGCCCGAATGCCGAGCACGTGAAGCGGATCAGGTTGTCATCTCGTAGCCCTGAATACTACCCCTCCCTCACCCCTTTAGGAGTCATGCGCCTGGCTCCTTGCGCGCCCATGCAGGGTTCTGCACACCGCAACTTGTTGCACGGCCGCATGCCTTGTGGGGGGGGCTGAGAGGCAGAGCCGCGCCTGGGACCGTGCAGCGGAGGGTCCAGTACCCGCATGAGAGGCAGAGCATGCCCCAGTGTGGGGGGGCGGGTGAGAGGCAGAGCCGCGCCTGGGACCGTGCAGCGGAGGGTCCAGTACCCGGACGCATGCCCTGAGAGGGGGGGTGAGAGGCAGAGCCGCGCCTGGGACTGTGCAGCGGAGGGTCCAGTGCCCGCCAGCGATCCAGCATTCTCGAGCCTCCTCGGTGCGCAGCGGCAGAAGCAGCCAGCCTTGCACATCATCCGCCGTGCCGTCCACCGGGATAGCTCCCGGGAAGCCCGTCAGCACCAGCTCTAGATCCGCGCGAGGCCCCTCGCAGTTCTCCGCTGCCGACTCCGCGCTTTCACCCTCCATTTGCACGCCCTCCGGATCTCCCGGCTCCTCCGGCCCCTCTGGCTCCTCCGGCTTATCCACCGGCGATGCCGGGAGGTCTACCAAGGGGGAGGTGGGCAATGCCCCGGGATCCCCCTCGCTGATTGCCTCGCTCCACAGTGTTCCCAGCTGCATGTCGCGCTTCGAGATTGGTGCAAGGTGGAACCCCGGGCGCAGGCCCTGCATGCCCCACCTCACGACAACTCCCTTCACCCCCCTTCGGGTGCCCAAGCATCAATACCCACACCGGGAATATCTCTCCCCCCAAGGCCTGCGGGGGGCTTGGGGAGACTCTAAGAGCTGCTCACAGATGTCAGGTGCAGCTCAAGGTTCGAACAGTGGTTTCTCAGTGCGCCCTTTTGGGGGACCCTCGAAGGCGTCCACTTCGCCGCGCAGCACTTTTCAGACTACCGCCGCGCGCACCCCTACCTCTAGCTAAAATTTCCGGCAAGGGCGAGGATGCATCTGCTGCCATCTGTGGTGCGCTCCCCCCTCGATCAGTCCTCGGGTCACAGACCGCACGGCCCTCTGCTCGCGAGCTGCGCGCACATCAAAGCTGGCGAGGCAACCGATCACGCGACACTGATCAACGGCTGCCACATCGGCCCGGCGACCTGGGGTGGCCACCAGCTACGGGGGTCCGTGAAAGACGCAGCAACGGTCCTGCGAACTCGGTTGTGTAAGCATCTAACGAGGGCCATCTGTGCGCACCTGCTCCGCCTCGCTCTCCTCGGGATCTGGCACGTCGGGCGCGGCAGGCTTCTCGGGATGGAACCGCACGAGCCGGAGCGACGCCGTGCCGTAGTCGAGCAGCTTCCCCCCGACATGGATCTCCACCGCAAGATCGTCCTGCATGGAGGACTTCAGCGCCTGCATCTCGCTCCCGTGCCCCCCTCGCTTGTGTGAGAACACGCGGAGGGACGTGGTTGCACTGCGGCTGCTGTACTTTCCTCGCCTCACCTCGCCGCCACCGCCCCGGCTGCCGCGCAAGCGCCGCGCCTCTGGCCGACCTCGGGCGCACCGCCACGGGGCACGCGGAATCCACCACGGTGGCGCTGCCGTATTCGCACCCACGCGGAGCCCCTGGAGGCTTCCTGGGATGTGCTCCAAGATCTTCACCGCTGTGCATCAGACAGATGGAATCTACCCGACCCGGGGGACTTTTAGTGCCTCTCTCGCACGGGCCGCATTCGCCCTAGATCAGGTCGGGGTGCGAGTCATATGGAGAGAGGAGAGTGCCGGGGCGACGCACCTTGGTGGCCTTGACACCCATGAACGTCTTCAGGAGGCATCTGATGGTGGCGTACGGGCCGTCTTCTGGTACATCCTGCGAGGCATATCCGGGCGTCCACGTACGACTCAGCCTGCTTCCACTGTCACACCACTCGACAGCTCCTACACCGCCACGTCACCTCGCGGTTTTGGCGCGCTTCTGCACAGAGAACGGGAACATGAGAGGCGCTCGGGAGGGCAAGGCGGAAGCCAGCAGAGGCTTTGGGCGGGAGGCGGGGGACGGGCAGGGGCTTGCCCGGTCGCCCGCCTTGGCCAGGTGCTCAAGCTGCACCGCCCGCACTGCTCGGCTCAAATCGAGCGGCGCACAGGCGGTTGAGTCGGCGACGCGTTGGCTGGCGGTGGCGTGCGCCCGGCGTTCCCATTCCAGAAGAAGCTCGTGCGGCATAGAACATGGGTATCTCGGCAGCAGCAGATGCGACGTCTGCGTCACGCGGCCACACCCTGTCACTTGATTCAGCGGGGAAATCTCAGCTGGACTGGTGTGACCCGGCGCACGCTGCAGGAGGCGCGGCTTGAAGTGCTCACGCTTTCCGCCCCCCTTGTTCATAGGATACTAGGTAACCCGGCCCTTGCAGGCCGAGTTGGATCTTCCATCTGTCCAGCAACGTGCATCCGCTGTCGGACAGGTGGGGCCCGATGACTCACAATCGTGCCTATGGCACACCCTGAGTGATACTCTACGCACGACCAGCGCATGGACGCAGGCGGACCTACGGTGCAGTAGCCAATCCCGCCTGACGGCCCTGGCGATGCGTTCGCCATGTTGCTACAATGCTGACGTGGATTCTGGGTGCGACTGTTGCGAGCCGACCACTTTTGGATCACGGAAACGCGTGGAGACTCGCGGGGAGGTGTCACAGTGTCACGGACAGCGTCACACGGAGAATCGTAATTCGGCTGCTGCAGGCTGTTGTCTCTGCCACGTGTGCAAGAGGCCCGCAAAGAGCCGCGGAGAAGATACGGGAGGAAAAGAGAAGGATGGCTGTGAACCTGGATGAGATACTGCGGCATGATGCAGTCCCCTTCACTGAAAGTGGTGGTCTCGTCGTTTGTGCTGTAAGATGTCACGGTGGCCAGGCGCCAACCATAGGACATGGTCTGCTGCATGTCGAAGGTGGCCTTCCAATCGATGGAGCAGTGCACCTTTACCCGCTGCCCAGGCGCCAGCGCATACAAGGGGCGAAGACGGTGCTTCTTCAGCACTCCCTCCTTGCTTCCCTCGTTCATGCGGTTGTCATTCACGCCAAACTCCGCCGCCACCATGGTCTCTAGCCCCTGCATCTCCTCAGCGTCACGAGTGAGGGGAATGCAGCTGGCGCATGGCATGTGACGCGCCGGTTCCGGGACCGGTGGACCAGAACCGTGAGCCAAGCTGTGAAATTCAAACAATGATCTGTGCGCAGGGCGTGTGGGTGTGGGTGCGGCTTATCCTTGGACTGATTCCTTTGGCATCATGTAGCCACAGAAGATCGGCTGCCCTATGTACCCACACCGGGGATCAAAGGATTCAGCACACACTTTGGGACACTTCTCCGGATTTCTCCGGAGCTCGCTAGTGAAGAATTGGAGCCCCTATGCCTCACTGAGCCACCCGAGCCCCTCTGCAACTGCACTGCCGGCGCACCGCTTCACCTCTGAAACTCGAACTGCTCGAGCCATCTCCCCACCACCAAGCCTACGCTCAGGACCACCCCCGTGCTCCCTGCCCGCCCCAACGCCTACAGTAGTCCCGAGAGCTTGCCCACCCACAACACGACCGGTATTCCATGCGGTTGTCATATGGGGCTGCGAATGACAAACTGATTTGCTTTCTGTGTGTGTGTGTGGCTTATCCTTGGACCGATTCCTTTGGCATCACGTAACCACATATGATCGGTTGCACTATGTACCCACACCGGGGATGCGGTCGTTGTCCGGGATAAATCTCTACAGTGTCTCAGAAACCTCAGAAACACGTACCTCTGATGATCAATTGTTACAATCAAGCATCCATGAGACATTGTAAATATTTATCACGGACAACAACCGCACGGGCAGGTATATGCATTCCTATCATTAGCAAGAAGAGACGTTTATATTAGGAAAACACAGGAACTACTAACGCGCTGGGCTACTCTAGCGTGTAAGAAGTTAGAAGATGAAGCTCGAAGACTGAAGACTTGACGTAATCGAGAAAAAAATATATGATTGGCGAATACTGCTCCCATAAGGAGCAATGATGATGAATTATCTCAGAATAAATAGAACGAATGGTGCGGTGATAGCACAGCAATCCGGTAATCTGTGGACGATGGGTTCGATTCCCTCTTGGTTCACCTTGTGGAGAAATAAAACTGAGCGATGCCTTCGACTCTGAGAATACGAATGGCGCGATTGAACTGAATACCATCAACAAAGTTGATGGCCGCAAACTGCGACGAGTCACGTCAGCGCCAACGCCACCCACGAGGCGGCCGCAAAACACCCGACAGATGAGAGAGTAAGGCTCGCACCCGCGCCAGCTGCAGGAAGCTGTAAAGTGCCCAGCGCTTCTGCGGGGGGGAGAGCTCGGGGGTACTGAGCTGGGGCACGATGGCGACCAGCAGGCACACGGTATACGCAATGGCGATCATGTCCAGGCCCCTGTGGCTGTCCGGGAAGGTGTAGTTATCCGCTACCATGTCCAGGCCCTCCGTGAAAGTAGCGAAGGACAGCAGGTTGCGGCGCAGCGCGGACATCACCGCGGCCGCGGCGTTCAGCGCGCGAGTGTAGAGGCTGCGGTCCATGCCTGCCGGGTTCCGCCGGGCGCTCTGCAGCAGCCCTTCCCGCGAGCTCGGAAGGAGGACGTCCGTCATCTGCGTTGCCTGCACCGCCACCAACCCACGCCTCTCGTCTGCAGCAAGAAGTGTCCCAAGTGGCTGCCACCGTGTCCCATATATCTCAGAATCGGACCCCTGTGGTTCCGCCCCAGGCTGAGCCGCGTCCCCGACCCTCCGATCAAGAGCCCTGCACCATCTTGCGCCCCGACCCTCTATAGAGTCACCCCCTGCTCCTAGATTCGCCTCTCCCCCTTTCACCGCGCGGAACCCCGAGGGGCCTTCCCTCCACGGGTCCGCCTTGCGTCTCCAAGCCCCCAAGGAGACTGCTTTTGAATATTTTAAAGTTACAAATCTTGCTGCCTTGACAGCCAATTAAGCCACATTTTGCTAAGGTCCACCCTCGTTACGCATCTCAGACTCGTCTGCTGCGGGAAAGCCTTCAAAGCGGCGCATATACAACATTACGGGGCCGTCCCGGGTGTCGACGTCCTTAATTAAGTATATGGCGGCGTTGTAGAGATGGTAGTTGCTTTCAATCACAAGCGCGCGGTTCGCCTCCTCCCGGCTTTCGCACGTGTGAATGAATCTTGCCCATCGCAGGCCACACCATTTTTAGTTTGCGTCGGAAAAACAACTCAAGTGAAGTGTGTCAGCCAGAAACTTACCAGGTTACCGACGGCCTCGGACTCGATGTATAGCCCGGTATTGTGTACGATGGCAACTCGGTGTTTGTTGTAGAGCGTTTGCAAGTCAGTCACGCCGCCGATGTTGTCGATGAACTTGATACCTTCCTCGGGTTTCTCGACGTCAATCTCAAGCACCAGACCGGGCGTCACGATTTCTAGTCCAACGCCCAAAGCGCAACCGGATGCAACTCTGATGGGACTGCCCAAGTACGAAAGCGCCTTGTTTCATCACCCGCTCTTGGGCGTTGGACTAGAAATCGTGACGCCCGGTCTGGTGCTTGAGATTGACGTCGAGAAACCCGAGGAAGGTATCAAGTTCATCGACAACATCGGCGGCGTGACTGACTTGCAAACGCTCTACAACAAACACCAAGTTGCCATCAAACACAATACCGGGCTATACATCGAGTCCGAGGCCGTCGGTAACCTGGTAAGTTTCTGGTTGACACGCTTCACTTGAGTTGTTTTTCCGACGCAAACTAAAAATGGTGTGGCCTGCGACGGGCAAGATTCATTCACACGTGCGAAAGCCGGGAGGAGGCGAACCGCGCGCTTGTGATTGAAAGCAACTACCATCTCTACAACGCCACTGTATACTTAATTAAGGACGTCGACACCCGGGACGGCCCCGTAATGTTGTATATGCGCCGCTTTGAAGGCTTTCCCGCAGCAGACGAGTCTGAGATGCGCAACGAGGGTGGACCTTAGTAGAATGTGGCTTAATTGGCTGTCAAGGCAGCAAGATTTGTAACTTTATAATATTCAAAAGTAGTCAAAACCAGACGAGTGGGTAGAGCTGGGGGAACAATCCACGACATCCACACCGGCGCCTCTCAAAACCTTCAAGATCCACGGACGAAGCAACGCCGTTTCGCCTTGCCCACGATCCTCGGGTGATGAAAACCGGCACTCGCCGTCTCCGACGCCAACATTCCTGCCATGCCCCGAACCCAGAGTCGAGCCCACTGGAGGGTGTGCTTAGGGCACGCCCAGCTTAGGGCGCGCCATCTTACCTGGATGAGGCACAGCGAGGGGCTCGTGGTGGAGGCGCTGAGCCGGCTTCCGATTCGCTGCCGGTACCGAAACGGGACGGAGCTCTGCAGGAAGCCCTGCAGGGCGGTGAGGCGGTCCGTCGCAGCCCCCACGGGGCCAAACGTGGTCTGTGCCCGCGGGCGAGCCTGGGGGGCCACTTGCGGCGATGTGGCCCCCGCCGCGCCAACCTCGTGGACACAATACGCTGCAGCCACACACCTTTCCCGTGGTCAGCTTAGTGATAGAATCCGGAATTTGTTACTTGAAGACAAAGCTGCGAACATCAACTATCCTCACTACCCGGAAAGTGAGGAGACCGAAGGCACTGCGAGGGAGCACAGCCGGCAGATGCAGCCACTGCAGCCGGAGAGGCCGAGAGACCAGTGCCTGCCAGATGACAACAAGAATAGGGAAGCTCGGGGCTTGCCCGCAAGCAAGTGCACACGGCTCAAGGAGAGGTACCGGGAAGAAAGGCGCACCGTGTATGACAGGGGAAGAAAGGCAAACCGTGTGTGACAAGGGAAGAAAGGCAAACTGTGTATGACAGGGGAAGAAAGGCAAACTGTGTATGACAGGGGGAGAAAGGCGCTCTGTGTATGACAAGGGAAGAAAGGCGCACTGTGCATGACAAGGGAAGAAAGGCGCACTGTGTATGATGGCCGCCACGTCCTTGGGCACTCCGAGCCAGTGCGCAACGTGCCCCACATCTCCCGCGCCGGCGATGTCCTCCAGGCTCATGACGAGCGGTGTGCACTGAAAAAGCAGATTCGCCTCCAGATGCGCGAGGTCGGAGAACACGTGGCGCTGTTCCTTGCACGCCGCATTAATCAACCACTACAGAGCACCCCATCCCACCCCAAAACCCATTTTTCAGGCTTTGGTCAGCCCGTCAGAACATTTGCTCGCCACGTGGTGGAAGCGGGGATAGCGGAGGGGAGCCCGATAAAGACACGATCGTGTTCGCAGACCTTCACGTAAGTAAGTTGCGGCATACGCCGAAAGGCGGGAGTGTCAGCGGTTATCGCTGATTCAGGGCTGACCATGATGTTGGCGACACAGTGAAGAGCTGACCATGAAAAAGAAAAAGAAAACGTGGATTCCGGCCGCTTGCTGTGGCTCCTTCGGTTGCGGAATCGGCAATGGCTCAACGGTTCAGGGCTTCGCATCACTGCGCGTGCGGCACACCTTCGCGCCCGTGCAGTCGAGCATGATGTTCTCTGCGCGCAACTCGCCATGCGCCCAACCGCACGCCGCGCGCCAGGCGTGCCCCTCGCCGAGCCAGCCGTGGTCGTGCTGCCCGATACTCGCCAGCACGGCCTCCGCCGCCTCACGCGCCGACTCCCAGTTCCCCGGCTGGTCCCGGAAGAGGCTCGAGCGCGGCAGCTCCTCCGCGGCCTCCGGCAGCACGTGCGCGCCGAGCACCTCCTTCAGCTCCACCTTGTCAAACAGGCCCACGTGAGGGGTGCAGGTGAACCCCTCCCGGTATATGCCCTGCGACGCGCGGGGGAAAGAAAGTGAGGGTGGGGGGAGGACGCAAAGGGGAAACAAAGATGTGGTGACGCTCTGTGTGGACGCTACCGATGGGTGCTTCGGGCTGTTCTCATCTCTCCCAATCCACGCTCCCGAGCTCCCGTGCGGACAGTGGGGGCGGAGCAAACCGTCCAAGGGTCGCCACGTGCCAATCACTCGCCCAACCACAGGGAAAAAGTCGCCATCACCATCTCAGCCTCTGCGACAGCCTTGGATTCAGTCGCGGCGTCGCCATCGTCCGGTCCTGCTCTCGGCCACGTTCGCCACTAGCCGTAGGTCGATGCCACTGAGGCACAGGTGTATAGCCCCAGCGTCGAAGCGTGTGACGGGGAGCGAGGGTTGCAGGTTGCTGCGAGCGCCAAGGTGTAAGGCAGTGTGCCGGGCGTGCAGGAACGAGCGGGGCTCTCCCAGGAGAGGTCGGGGGAGGGCGTCCGGGGGACCTGCTGCAAAGCTCCTCCGGGTGCCAGAAGCTCGTCCAGCACCTCTTCCGAGGATGCCGGCACGGGCATGTGCCACCGTTGACTCCACGGCTCGATCCCGAGGACATAGAGCTCCTGCAGGCATTCACAACCCATGTATAAATGTGCGTGTGCTTATCCTTGTACCGACTCCTTTGGCACCCCGTAGCCGCAGAAGACCGGCTGCACTATGTGTTTGTATGCTTATCCTTGCGACTCCTTTGGCACCCCGTAGCCACAGGAGACTGCACTATGTACCCACGCCGGGGATCAAAGGATTCAGCACACACTATGTGTCTGTGTATGCTTATCCTTGCGACTCCTTTGGCACCCCCTGTGTTTGTGTGTGTGTGTGTGTTTGTGACAATCTGGTGGCTTGGGGTTGCGAAAGGAATTGATCCTAGGGTAAGCACACACTGAACGGCCAATGAGGTCCGCCGACGAAAGCCAGCGCACCATTATTCCAGTGGATGGGAGAAGCATTCAAGAACTTTACAGTTGTACATCACACATATGGAACGTACTCAACCCGGGGGGCTTTTTGTGCCTCTCTCTTGCACGGGCCGCATAAGGAATTCTCAATCGGAAGCATCATTCAAGTAAGGGGAGCGAGCAAGGGGAGAGACTGGTGGGAGGGGAGGGGGGTGAGTGCGGCAAGAATGGAAGAGAGCACATGCCACACGCACACAAAATGTGGGGTAGCCGGTAGTTTTCCAGCTGTGCAGTGCATGTCCGTGATGGAATTATCCATGTCGGTGCTCGACCCCAGGCGAGGCAAATGTCAAACCAATGACAGAGGAAACCAAGCTGA